TTTTTTTTTGACATATTTCGTATGTGGACACTCTTAAAGGGATACCACAACGAAATTTCGGCGCTCATGTTTTGGTCTATATGTGTTCAAAGGAGCAGCATCACATCGAACATACCAATATCTTGTTAAAAAATTCACGAAAAGTAATTTTAAAACGAATTAAACGATTAGCAAAGAGCACCTGGTGGATGTCGCTAACTCCTCGCTTGTAATGCCCGTCTAGGAACCTTGACAGCTAGTGACGGAGGTTGTCTCGCCTCCGGCCACGACGAAAGAAGAGGGGCAGGAGGAACTCCCCTCTTCCCGAGAATGCCTTTTGTGTGTCGCAGAAGTAGCTATTGTCCCCCAACAAGATTACAGAAGATTAACCCGCCACTCAAAATTCGTACAAAAGCAGCCGCTTCGGTGGCTGGAACGACTAGGCCATCCTCTCGACGTCAGCCTCGCCGAAGCTTTGCTCGTCCTGAGACGACCTACGTCACGATTGCGTTGAAGGTCACGTGGTCTCCCCTGGGCCTTCTCCGAGCGCTTGCCAGAGTGGGCCGTTTATAACAAAAAATACAGCCACCAGGCTCAAAATAAAAACGTACGATTGTCATTTACGGATATTGTGGATCATATTCAACCTATTTTAGTACACGACGGGAATATTTCAACTTTCGTTGAAGTATCCCTTTAAAACCAAACCTCTTTGGCTCCAGGTTTTCTGGTTCAAGGCCAACGACCAGTTCGCGCTTTCCACTTTTCCCTCGCTTCCTCCTCTCCCCCTTCTACCCTGTCTACCGTTGTCCGTTTCCTCCTCCCCCATGGTGAGGACGATCTTCTGTCTCGCAGAATCTCGAGTCTGGTCGTCGGCCTTTAAAGAAATATCGGCTGCAAGGTAAGATTACAAGCTACATATTTCCACAAGTAATCTAATATCGCTGTGAAATAAGGAATTTCACCCCCCCCCCCCCTTCCACTTTAGTAGAGCGAACGCTGAAGAGGCGCCGAACTCCTAACTTAGAAGGTACAAAGTACACAGCAATAACGGACTTTTTCACGATAGTAATTATTGACGAAAACGATACGATTACTTTGGGTGTGAACAGAAAAGGGCCGAGTCCGTGCGACATCTTGAGATACCGAAATATAGAAAAAATAATTAAAGATAATCCTAGGAAGGCGGCATATCGGCGGCCAAAGGACACCGTCGAGAAAGGATCCGGGATATTTGCGCGATAGTAGGCTATCAGTCGGATACCGTACCCACTGACGCGCATTCGAGAAAGACTGCGGCAGTCGCAGGCAAAGGTACAGGAACAGGCAGCCTGCCCTAGATCTCTTTCGAAATGGGCGTGCCGATTATTAGAAGGTCGGAACACTGCACAATGGCGGAACAACTGACACCGTGAAACGTGCGAGTCATTTCATAATGACAGCAAACATCGGAGCGCGGGCACTGCTAGGAGCCGACGAGCCAATCAAACAGTGTCGAAATTGCAACGTCACTGCACTCATCACCATTTCCCATGGGTGTGCTTCTCCTACTCCAACCAAACGCATAAAGTGTGCCGCGACATAGGCAGCTGGCAACGGCCAGGCGGCGCCAGCAGGGTGAGAGCGCACGGTTACACCCTATCTTGTTGTAACTTGGCAAACGGCGAACGATAAGCCCCAAATTGCGTGCCGAAGGCTTCGAAATGCGCACACAATATGTGTGCGCCAGTGCACACATATTGGAGCATGACGCAGCGAAAAGCCCGATACTTCTTCGGAGTTGAGGCGCGCTCCGGTGATACGCAGTCACGTTACGATTGGCCCGCCAGGGCCGTAGCTTCCACTCTACTGGCAGGTTACGCGATCACGGCTTCCTGGGATACCCAGTATTTCTTGCTTCAGACGCTAGGCTAAGCGGCGCCACCAGAGTAATAGCTCACATTTGAACAATGTAGCCGCCACTCCCAGGGGTACCCAATATTCCTTGCTTCAGTCGCTAGATGGCGCCAAACCAAACAGCATTGCAGGTTGCCTATTGCGGTCTTGGTCCGCCATTGTGCAGGGATTCCACAGCTGACAACAGAGGGCAGTATTTCGAAAGGGCCTCTGCTGTTTGGTTTGGCGCCACCTAGCGTCTGAAGCAAGGAACGTTGAGCATGCCAAGAAAGAATAAATGACTGCAGCGGATGTTACAAACCATCATAGCCAATCCAAGGCCATGTAAATGTCTTCTCTCCTCCCCCCCCCCCTCTCTACGTACTACCTGTCCCAACCTTCCAGCAGTCGGCACGTGACCGTCGTTTCGAGGCCTAAACGGCCTCTTCTGTCAAACTCAGGCATGGCTTATCTACGAGTTATTCGTCTTTCACGGAGGCGTTTCTCTTTCCCTAGTGGCTGATTGGACCAAAAAGCGGTTCTAATCAGCTATTCGCTCGACTGACACGCAAACCCATTTTGCCCGAGATTTTCACCAGCCAATCTCGTTACACGCTGTCGCGCTGCATAACCCGCAGAACAACGTAGGAAGTGACGACGAAAAACACTAAAGCGATAACGGAGCAGCAGCCGCCCCACCATTACAGATAGGACCAGAAATGTCAGCGTCTCCATATCACGCCAGCGAAAATGTCAGCTAGAACATAGTAAAAGGGCAAGCAAAAGGGACCGCAAAAAACGTAAAAGCTGCTACTACAAAATCACTAAGACACGTGCAAGCTGAATGGTAATTACGGTACAAAAGTGCCGTTCTCGATACTTCATTAAAATACCCCATGACGTCGACATCTGCCCTCCAATGCTCCAGATATTCTTTTTTTTTTTTTTTTTCATTTTTACGCGTTTTTGTCTTTCATGTCTATTACGTCTTAAATCCTGACCCGCACTGGCAGGCTCTTCGTCCATCAATACCGAAGTTTATACTGGCTGAAAGTTCCCTAACATATAGCTGACTGCAGAGATACTCGAATATTTTTCTTTAGTTACGTTACAGCTGGGCATTTGAGAGGGTTTTAGAAAGATCAGTCCCTTGACCTCGTCACGTCGCTCGCAAGTTTCAAGGCCAGATTTTTATCTCCCATCTTTTAAGTCGTTACTGTAAGCGGTTAGCGGCCATTGCTGTATTAACTGTAATAAGCTTAAGCGATTGAATCAGCCAATGAAACACGTGAAAAGCCGGAAGTCCCGCTGACGCGGACGAGAACCAGCTGCGTCACTTATCTAAACAAATAAGCTGTCTCCAACGCGCGCACACGGCGCAATAAAAAGGGCAAAGGTTTTCTTTTTTTTTATGAAGTGTAAACTTAATTTCATGGTTTGCCATCGCAGCAAACGCAAATAAGCGTAACGCCATAAAATCAAACGTAACAGACCGCATAATGTCGGTAGTTGTATTCGGAGAACGTTCTACCGAAAAGGCTTTGAACAAGCATTACACCGAAGCATCCTAAAAGCAAGGGAAAAATAAAAACAAAAGAAATTGTCGTTTTACAGGTTTTTTTTTCTTTTCTTTACACTATGACAAAGAGGCTAAAAAAAAAAATCTAAATAAACAATAGACGCCAATTGACCTGAAAAAATCCGAGTTTCCCGGAATTCTAGAATGGACAATTACCACGCGTACGAAAGAAGTGCATCCGGAGAAGTAGAAAAAGGTCCGGAGCCAGCAAGAGACGTCCGTACAACGTGTGAGGTACTACCGACAAAACCGGTTCTACAAAACCGCACGAGCGTCGGGAGGAAAAAAGTAAAGAAGAAATAAGGGGGACAGAACATGGAACAGATATAGAGGTATCTAAACAAACTAACAAACAACCAAAAACAAAAGTTATTTCCTCCACGCCGCGTGCAGCATATCCCCTCGGAAACCCTCAGAGACGGAACTCACCTGTCCCAGGTATTGGAAGCCGTGCTTGGACGCGAGGTCTCGGGCGACGTCGGGACCACCGTCGACGTTCACCACAAACTGGTCGGTGTAGATGGGCTCCGAAGACGAGCCGGCGACGACGACGAAGACGAAGGAACCCAGGAGCAGGGACAGCGGAGACGACGACGTAATCAGTATCCGAGACATGGTAGTGCCGGCGGCGGCGACGCGAAGACGGGAACCCCACTACGAGCGACCACGGACCACATGGAACTGCGGCCTGACCGCCGGGCGAAATGGGTTCTCGGTCACGACCACGGGGGTTTGTCGAGTGAGCGGCGGACGGGGGAACGCACGAGTCGTCGCGACACAAACTTCACGGTCGCCGCACTAAGGCAAACAAGTTCACGTGGAATTTGACATGCCCGTTGTTGATTGTTTCCCTCGGTTGAGCGGTGCTGAAGCTGCGTTGTTGGATGCTGAAGAGACTTGCGGTGACGGGCTTTGGTGAGTAAGCAGCGTTGCCGGTGTGGTGAAGGGGCGGCGTCGTGCGGCCGAGGCTGGTGGACTCCGCACGGGAGGAACGCTGCTGGTGATGAGATGCGCGTCACCTTCTGCCCGTGTACGGCCGCCGACGACCGACAGCGACCGAGGAATGGCTTGCGTCGCACCCCCTCTTTCTTTCGTGCGCCGCCTTGTGTGTTGTTGATATCGCCGGTGGCGCCGCCGCCGCCCGCTGCTTGACGCTGCGCTGCTGACGCTCGCACGCTGTGACGTCGCTTGTGGCGTCACAAAACCATGACGTCATAATATAGCGGATATCAGTCTTTGAAGTTGAAGGCGTTTCGTATTTAAAGATTTAAATATTTATGCATTTGAAAATAACCATTTTCCTCAGTGGATGTCAAATTAAAATTACAAGATTTATGCGATTTTTGTAGCGCGTACGTACAAAAATAAACTTCTTTTTTTAAATCAAGGTTGCGAATGCATGGGCTGCTTATGAAAGTAAATTAACCTTTTTATTATATATTTATTAAATATTTTTAAAATTTTTTTTGCTTCACAACATTGTTTAGGTGTTAGGTGTTTTATTATTCGTTTTCGGGAGAAGTGTTTGCATTGTACGAATCGACGCTAACATCAACATCATTACAAAATGGCGACGCTGTCTGCTATCGCGAGTCTGAACTCGAGTAAGTTGTTATTCCTTCCTTCGCGTATCAATGTTTTTCTTAATTCCATTTACTGAGCACACACGAATTGCCAGGCGCAAGTCAGATAAAAGTAGTGTTAGTCTAAGGCGACATACTAAGTAGCTTCAAATGCTCGGACCTAGCTCATATGTGTGCCACATGCAGTGAACAAGTGAAATGTTAAACATAAGTTAGCGTACACCCGATTTCGGTATATCATTGCTCGCACACGGTATCACAACGTCGATCAGTCATTGAGGGTGCATTTATGCGAGGAAAAGCGAAATGTTCCAATTCCTACCATCTCCCACCGCGGGTTGGAGAGTCGCACGAGCCGCTTATGCACTTCTTGTTTTCTGTTCTGTCTTACGTAGATACCAAAGCGTCCGAGAAGTACTTTGCCCATTCAATATAGTTCGATCGATTCGTCAGCATACACAGCGAAGTTACCCTCCGCCGCCTCCGCAATCCCAGAACGCCGAAACCAAACTCTTCGATTGTCCCCGAGACTATCGGTGGCGACAACACAGATAGCGACACAGCCGACTCAATCCAATACAATCCAAGCCCGTCCGGGGCTGCTGTCCGCCATTTTTGTGGGCCCGAGCTATGACGGTGCGGACGTGAGATTTCTCAGCGCGGTTTACTGTTCAGATCGGCTCAAATAAATTTGTAAAAGCGATTCAAAAAAAAAAAAAATGACGATCTGTGCGGTGAACGGGTGTTCGAACAGAAGTTCGCGCCGCAACCCGACGACGCCGAGCGTGAGCTTTTACTGTCTGCCCAAAGTGATCAGCAACCAGTGCGATCGGACCCGCCAGCTTTCCGAAAAGCGTCGGAAACTGTGGCTGGAAAAAATCAACCGGCGCGAGCTGTATTTCAAGAAGGATATCCGGATCTGCAGCGTCCACTTTATCTCCGGTGAGCTTCGCTTGCTTCTTTTGCATTCTTCATGTATTCATTTGAGCCACATGTGCGCGATGCTGTTACGGGATTTTATTTTTGCGATGCGTGCACCTGCGCTTCGGTGCGCCGACAGTAACGAGTGCATCCGATGCAGTCCCTGAATGTTGCTGCGAGTGAAAAATTTATTTAGCTTTATTTATTTAATTTTCCGAGCCAATGTAGAAAGCAACTCCTCTGCTTCTTGCGCAGGGGTGGCGTTGACGTCAGAACGGTGCCAAGTTCTGATTGGCTTTGATTTGAAGGATATTGGATAGACATCAATGCTAAATGCCTTAAAATCTAACCACTATTTTTTTTTTTTTTTTGCAATTGGCGAGGAAGTGAATGGCAAACAGTAAATTAATACGAACGGTGCATCAGGGAATCTTGTTACGAGTAGAATTGACCCTTTTGAAAAGTGTGCACGCTCCCAGCATTCGTTGTACAAGGCCACCATATTTAGGGCATGCACTTTGAGCAAGCAGTTGACGCGAGTAATGCATCGGCGTTCGGTGCATATGCGGGTTCCTATGTATTCATCACGCCTTCTGCGTCAGTGCTGCTGCGTCGGTGCCCAAAATATGGCAACTGTGAGCGTTGCTTGATGGGATTTTGAAGAGGGTCTATTGTAGCAATATATTGTTTGCTCAATGGTCTCTGTAGTGTAACCGAACCACTTCAGTCTCCACGGTACTTTTGCACGGTTCAAACATTTTGAGACGGGTACAACTAGCCTATGAAGGCGGATTATTAATTGTTATGGGGGTACGAACAGAGAGAGAGAGGAGGAGACGAGAGCGTGCAAAGTCATCAGAGAGTCGAGCTCTGGCTGGAATGATTAATGAGTAGACGTAAAGCCAGCTGTTTTTGCTTCCACTCACTCTTGAGGCGCGTTCGTATGCAAATGCTGCTGGTTTGCGTTCGAAGGCGTTGGAAGGCTGAGTAGAAACGAAGGCAGCTAGCTTTGCTGCCTTTGTCTCTACGGAGTAATCATTCCGGTCAGAGTTTGGCTCTCTCAGGTTCTGCGAGGATAGAAAGCGTGTCTTAAATTTATTTTAAAACTTAGCATGTGGTATGCGTCGTGCTTTTAATGCAACTCACTCGAAATTGTAATGTCCAAACGTTTCTGTGAACAGTCTTTGGTCAGTTAAAAGGTTGTCGGCCTCTGAACATGCACTTCTTTTCAAAAGTTATGAGCAATTTCTTTTGCAAGCATTCGGGGGGAAAGTAGCATTTGACAAAGCCACGAATATGCGGTGACAAATGGCATCAGCAACTAGGACCAGGGCCTATGTTCCCATTGAAAGTTCCGAAAAATCACTTAAAACTTTTGAATAAAAATACAGTTACTTCTAAAACGTTGGCACCTGGTCTGGATTGCTTGCGGTACACTTGGGTGGATTGATTGATTGATTCAAAAGCGCATCTTTTACATGAAAATGCAGATCCTCATCTACGGGTTGCATGCCCGCCCCGTGGGGAGGGGGGTTTGTGTGGAGACTGAATGTTCGGCGATATATAGTTTAAATTTTGCGGTGAAAAAGACACTGTAAATCTATTTTTGGGGGCACCCCCTACGTGTTGAATGTACACCCGCGTTGGTGGTGCTCTACGGATATGTTTGTTTGATACTGTCACAATGCGTGTTGCAGGAAAGCCCGCCTACCTGATGCACGACAGTCATCCCGATTGGCTGCCCTCCTTAAAACTCGGCCGAGAAGACGGCCCCAAGCCGTCTCGACCCCGGCGAGCGAGGAAAGTGCAAAGCAGGAGGCAAGAGGAAGCTGCGGATGAAAAGGAAGTTGGGGAGGCCACGGAAGTTGCAGGCAACAACCAGGTTGCGAGCGAGAGAGTTTCAAACAAAAACAAAATTTTGAGCCACAAAAAAGTTTTGAGTAACAAAAGGACTTCGAGCAACAGACAAGTTAGGAGCAGGAGAAATGTTGTGGGCAATGTAAAAACTGCAAACACCGAAGTGGCTTTGAGCAACAGGCAAGTTAGAAGCAACAAGAGAGCTGCAAACGTCAAGAAGGCTACGGGAAACAGGAAAGTCGCAGACGAGAAAGAAGTTGCAGAGGACAAGGAGGTTGCAGTCAGCAAAGAAGTTGCAGCGCAAGGCTTGCTGGAGCTGGCGGGGATGCGAACGAGAGAAGAAACAGGGCTGTCAGCTGTTCAAGAATGGCTGAAGCTTTACGATGGCAATGTGGATATGGAACAAGAAACAGGTGAGACTACTAGCAAAATGCGAGTGAAGCTGGCCACGCCTGTGCAACATGGAATCAGAGATACGAGTCTGCGTCTTAGAGTGTGACGTTTTGGTTAAGGGGTTAACGCAGAGGCGCAGTTGGATGGAGCATCTCTTTTATGAAAGTAGTGATGGTCAAACATAACCGTGCAATAATTCTTTGATTAGCTTTCAGCCAATAAAGTAGGGCTGCTTATTTCAGTGTAGCCCTGAAGTGGCACTGGAATTAATTGCATATTTTCATTAGTAGCTGTGACGTATAAAGTGGCCACATCTCGAAAATTGCCCGCGAAAGGTAGCAGCAGCATTGTTTCCGAAGTGAAAACTCGGCGCGCCATCGGCATTGCGGAGTAGAAAATGAAAAGGTGCTTGGTGCGCAAAGGGCATTGTCTCGGACATACGGCTTTGACGAACAAAGTGCAGGCTCTTTAACCCATTCGCTACCATGCGCGTCGCGCGCTGCCGGGTAGTTTGTACCACATTTTTTTCTCCTAAAACAGGGCTACACTAGGTGTAACTGTTTTGCTTGTATAATAAGCTTTTGCAGTTAAACTCGGTGCAGAAAACAAGAAAACATGTTTATTTACTTGCTTGAGTGGTTCGTTCAAGTCTTTAAATCAATAGGCCCTCACAGATTCTTCCTTGTATGGAAGATCTTGAAGCACTCCATCCTCGGTCGCTTAGGCGTCACACAACCAGTGTGCTCTTGTCGTGATTCAGACTCAGAACTGCTGTCGGAATCACTCCTGTCATCGACAGAAGGCTCCGAAAGCTCACTATCTTCACCAGACGTCCCGTCATGATCGCTGTCGAAGAGGATATCTATGATTTCATTGTCGGAAAGGCCACACCGTGCACTGGACGCTGCCATCTTCTCCAAGCAGGCAGCGATCGAGCGGGAAAAACGACACACAAAAGAACAAGCTCATAGAAACACAGTGAACAGAACGACCCTTGCCATCTGTTGGCAATGCATCTAACTACACTACCTCAAGTCTACATAGCGCGCCATCTATGAAATGGCAGTATGGCCCCTGACGGCACACCCGGCGATTTGCCGGCTTTGTTAGTGAATGGGTTAATTGGAGTGGTAGCACCAGCGAAAAGGAGAAGGCGCCCATTATATTTGTACAGTGGTGCGACTGCTCGCATAACATGCAGAATATTCAACATCCAATTGCAGAAAGCTTCGCACCCTGTCATTTTGGTCTTCTTATGCTTGCACTATTTTTTGTCGTTGGTTATGTACTGCATAACGTGCCAGTGGCATAACCAGAAATTTGCCCCCCTCCCCTCCCCCCGAATTCCTGGGGGGGGGGGGGGTTGGCTAAGATGATTGGACGTTCGTGACTTGGGATGCAGGGGAGGGTGGGCAATGCACGTGTATAAGGAGTTTGAAAGGGGGGTCAATCCCAAAAGTGCCCCCCGCCCCCTTCGGCCCCTGGCTAGGCCGCTGTTGCATGTCAGTTGTTGTTCATATACCTGTGCCTGTGTAGTTTTATGTTGAAATCCAGGTAATTTTGGCAGAAGAGTATGCACCTTTTCTATGTGGGCGCCGCCATCTTTAATTCTGGAACTTCCGGTATGCGTGAAAACATCGCTTTCTTCTCTCCTCGACAGTAGAACATGTTAAAATTTTAATTACAACCGTCGGACATTCTTGTTATGACCCTTCTATACTTTTTTTACTTGTTGAGGGTTGTAATCTCCTGCTTTTTTTTTTTTTTCGGAATGCATACCGGATAGAGGGACAACGTGGCTGGGTGCGAGGCTAAACGAAAAAGGTGTATATATTGCCAGTTCTAGTCCCCTCAGTCCTGGCTGGGTACCCATGTCGGCCCGCCTTTTTAATTTCCTCGGGTACAATCCCATTATTGAAACGCTTTCGCGTGAAAGCTCACAAGATCATGTTTGAGCGCCTCTGAAGCATAAAATAAAGTGCCACAGATCGTAATGTTTCGTATGACCTTACATTTCTTCACGCAGGCGTAGGCACCCAGACCACACTGAAGATACGAGACATTGTTGCGCTGGAACTCGAGTGCCGCAACCTGAGGAGGCAGTTGCACGAGTTGCGAGAGAGGAAACCGACTTCCAGCAGTGGTTGATGGGCGAGGACTCGTGCAGCCAGCATTGGGTCGACATTTTGATTTGCTCCAGGCTCCATAGTGCTCCATAGTGGCAGTGTTCTTTTAAAGGACAACTCCACTCAATTCTTCAGGATAAGTGATATCACATTAAGAAGTACCGATAAAAGGCACTACATCCTTTGCTTCAGTAAAAATGAGAAATATTTTGTGAAATCTTACTTTAAACGCGAGCAGAAACCGAAGCCAAAGCTTTGCCTCTGTCGGGCAACATTGGCCTTGGGCCTTTAAAAAGGTGGCTTCTGTGTGGTATAAGCAGTCACGTGATCCTCTAAGTGATGACGGGCAAAATCGGGGTGGGCCATTATTAGGGCTGATGTGTGCAAAGCGCAAGTGTCCTCTGCACCGCAGTCTGCATCACGTTTCGGTGTCTACGATATCCGACGACATCTGCACAACTGCGGCATTGGTCTGTTCACGTAGTGTGATTGAAACTCCAAGAGACAATTATCAGAGCCGGCGAGGCGACGAGACGACGGTGCTCGGAAGACGACGGGACGGCTCCCAAGGCTGAGAAGTGCGCTGCGCAGGCGCGTCATGCCAGTCACGTGGACACCGCTGAGCCAACGCAATTGGTCAGTGCCAAGAGGAGACGCTGCTCACGTCGCCTGTTACGCTCACTCGGAAAAGCAAAAACAAGCAAAACGTAGTAATGTCGATGACGTTTAGCTCAATGTCAACAACACCAACACCGTAGCCTCGACTGCGCTGTTGATCACGCCTCAATTCACCCGCCAGAGTCGGCCGAGTTTGGCAACTTGTCGTGTTCCAAAGTTTGCCGGACCGAAGATACATTTAGACAGAACTATGTCGTAATATTTTATGTGCGGTGTTTCTAGATGATACTAACAAAAGCTGCGTTTTTTTGTTTGTTTTTTTTTTAAACAAAAAAGAAGTTGAGTTGTTTTTTAATGTATTTGTTTTTATTGTTATTAAAGAGAAATGCAACACCTGTGCCATGGAATTGCGCCTCGAGTTTGTCTTGATTGCATGTATTTTGAGTGACTGTAAGGGTACAGCGATGCCTCATTCAGATGCAGAACCTGCATGCTGTCTTTGCAGGTTGTAGCATTTTAATTGTGTTGCGTGTGTTTGTTTAGACACTGGGAAGTTAGTAAGCCCTAGTCGGCCTCTGCTGCATCTGCTGTCGATGAGATGTTTGTGCCAGTACGGTACCGCTGCTAGTCGGGAGTCTTTAAGGCACATCACGCAGTTGTGATGCACGACTGCACGCCAGTACGGTGCTCATCCAGATCAAAACAAGCAGAGGCGAGGATCGGGCCTTGGATCCCTGGGTTCTGCAACGTGAGCTTCCGTCCCGCTTGCTCCGAGCTCCAGTGCAACAACATACTCGACCACCGACATGACCATACATGCAAAGCTTATTTTCCAGTTCGACTGAAATAAATTGACTCAGCTTCCAAACGAGATGCAGCGGGATTTGCAGTTTCTAGATGGCCGACGTGCCATAGAAAACATTCGCCTGGTCCGGGTTTCGATCCCGGAAGCTCTCGAAGACCAGCGGGACGCTCTACCACTCAAGCTAACCTGGTGTTGGCCGCCGGTAAAGCAAATTAACGGATATTGACAGTATCTACCAGCCTTAATTCATTGAGACTGGTTTTAACTATCAACATTTTTTTGCTCTTTTGATGGGTAACTCCCAGTTAGCTCAGCTGGTAGAGTGCTTTGCTAGTCTTGGAGAAGTACCGGGGTTAAAGCTCAAACCGGGCATATTTGTTGGACGGCACACCGAACACCTAGAGGAGACGAGTTGCTCTCCGTTGCGGGTAGACGTCGGGGAGGTCGGCGGCTGTGTGGGCTAGTGCACACCAGCTCGTGCAGAACCCAGGGATCTTGAGGTTAATCCCCACCCCTGCCCGTTTCGACCCAGATGAGGATCGTACCGGCGTGCGGTCGTGTATCACTACTGCGTGATGCACGTTAAAGACCCCAGGCTAACGGTTGTACTGCACTGGCTAAATTGCTCACTTGCACTGGAGACACCAAACTCCCCATTGGGGCTAACTAGCTTCTCGCTGCTTAATGAAACACGCAACACAAATATTAGTTAGAGGTCGAGTCAATTCATTCTCCCGTAAATCTCCCACTTGGAGGCGTCCCCTAAATCAGTAACATCCTACCATATTTCAGTAAGGTCGTTCTGGCTGCTTCGAGGGGTGCTCTTGGGTTGCTTTAGGGGTACTCTAGGAAAATCCTGTGGATGGCTCCGAGGATCACCTACGGATACCCACGAAAGATGCCCGGAAACTCTGTCAGCATTCTAGGAAACCCCTTTGGATACCACGGGGAATTTCTGGGTTTCTCGGAGCCTGGCTTGAGCAGCTTGTGAACTATGCTGCATCTGCGCTGCCCTAGTCAGTGTTTTGTTTTTCAGTGATTTTGTTTTGTCAGTGCCCAGCACAGAAAAACATTGACCTTTTATTAAGATTTATTTAACTATAAACATCATTTTATACAGAAATGGAATAGGAGCGATCCTAAGACGGTCCGAACGAATGCACTACCGAGGCTGTGTGACGCGAGTTTCCATCTTCGAGGGCCACCCCGCTTGAGTGCTGCTTTAGCTGCACTTTGGCCCGATAAACTTATTTTTGCGAAATGCACGCGTGGCGTAAAGGCTTGGTAAGAATGAAGGTGATGCAGAAAACAATCAATATTTAATAATGTACAATTATCGGGGCAAGCAAGGTAAATTTCGGCAGAAATAGGGGAATTTCAGGCATCTGCCAGGGAAATGCTGACTTTTCATGTTGGCGCCCTGGTCCAACGGTGCCCCCTGGTGTCTGCTGCAAGGTGCAGAACAAGGGGCATGTCAAACCTTTGATTGAATTTTAGAGCGCAGCTCTTAGGCGCCCGTTTCTGGGTTGAGCAGCGTCGCTGTCGCCGTCGGTGTAACCGCATGTTGCATTATCGGACGTTTGGCATAATGACGTGACATGTGACGTCACGAGCGTAAAACTTTCCCACTAGGTTAGGTTTGGCAGGATATTTTTCCGCTAAATTTAGCGGGTAAACTTTTCTGCTAAATTTAGCTGGAAAATTTTGCCGCTAAATTTAGCGGAAACATTTCCCAACAAATTTAGCAGGTAAAATGTTACCCTCGTGACGTCACACGTGGCGCCACTCAACCCGGGAAAAGTTTTCCAGTAAATTTAGCGGAAAAATTCCTCCGCTAAATTTAGCAGAAACATTTACCCTCGTGACGTCACACGTGCCTTCATGTATGACATCACATGAATGAATGTAAATTTAGCGGAAAACTTTCCTCGCTAAATTTCCTTAAGGAGGAAGGGAGCGAACCCCCCCCCCCCCCCCCATACCCTCCCCTCCTCCTCCTCGAGAGTTGCAGTCTAATTCGGCATTACAGAGAATTAAAACGTCAAATTTTTTAATAGGGAAATCAGCCGCCCACAAGTGGAGTTTCGGTTTTCTTAGGATGCTTGGAGCCGATATATTGAGTTATGACCATAAACAGATTATCTCAGATTCCACTTGAGTGCCCCCGTTGCCCATGCAGCTTCAAGTAAGAAGAGGCCAAGGCACGAACGACCGTAGTTGCAACATTGGAGGAAGGAAAATAAGAGCATTGCTACTCTCCAAGGAGCGTCCCTTTCGAGAAATTTCAGAATTCGTGCTTCGTACACGTTCAGTATATTGAGAACGAGACTTCCCTTTTTGCAATGATCGCCAGTGGATGGATGGGAACTAGTTTGTGTAAGACTCGTCACACTTAAACTTGCCTCGTGGCTTGCGGGTTGCACGCAGCAAAAAGGTTGTGAGCAATCTCGATGCAAACCCCAAGAAAGTGGCTAGCAACGAACATTTTAGCGCAATATTTATGTTGAGCGAGAGATTTTGAGTTAGGAACAATTCCACGACACGCTTCTATTTCGATACATCGACCCCAAGATAGAAGATTGTTTCCGAATCGCCGACGTAAATATTGCGCTAAAAAAATGTTTTTAGGGAAAATGTTATTTTGCACTTTATAAAGGCAATTAATTATAAAAAAAATTTTGGGAGTTGACCTATTTAAAAGGCCAGTTCACGTCGACGACGGCAGAAGCGGGAAGGGACGGGTCGGGGCGACGCCTGTCTCATGCGCTCCGTCTTTGCAGGGCTGGCACGCGCGGTGTCGCCAACGGTGACCCAGGTGAGATTCCGGCGCATCCGTGGGCGGAACCCGCGCGAGCCTTTCTTCGAGAAGAAGGCCATCCTCGAGGTGTGCAAGCCCATCTTCGGCCGTGACGAGACCCCGTCCTGGGAGAGATGCTCCCTGACCAAGAGGATTGAGACACCCGAACCATTCGTACGTTTTTCCTGCTACTCTCGGCGCACTATTTTATTTTTTTTTTTTTTTTTCGTAATACACGTTAGATATAATGAGCCTGACGGAAAGACCCCGATGTGGTAAAGATTCACGTAAGAATAAATTGGCTTCCAGCTGAAATGGAGCGCAGCTCGCACCTTTAAAGGTTCTCTTCACGGACGTAATTTCGTCGACCATTTTGTTGGTATGAGCTGTCTGGCATGTGGCGAAGGCGAGTATTCCAAGGATTTGCACGACACCCTCAAATGCGTAGTGCACAGAAGCTTGCATGTTTCGTCACTCTGACATTGGAAGCCTGGCGTGTGGAGAAGTAAAGTGTGTTTCGACAACAAAAACTAACAACAAAGTGGCAGATTAACGTCGCACAAAAACGCCCTATATCCCAATCACCCTTAAGACTGCAACCAGTGCCATAAGCACGAGAGCACGAGGTATTTGCTTTGAAACGTTCTTCCACAGAATGAATTTTCACACCAGAAACATCTGTCTCAAAGTCGGGAGCGCAGATCAGCTCACACCTGTAGCTTTGCCTGCACTCTCGCTGACTTAAGTTCAGCCGTAAGTGTTCAGCACTTACGGCTGAACAAATTATAGGCAACTGGTGGCTGCTGAAAAGATCCACCTTGTTTGGGGCGCCTCGAAAACTAGCAGAGCCCGCTCTACCAACCGAGCTAGCCAGGAGCTGGCAATCAGTAGAGAAAACACACGTTGACAGTTGCCACAAGTCTCGATCACGGCCGTCTTTATTCTAGATAGAATGTGGCCGCTGTAAAGAAGAAAGGAGATCAGAGAAGAGGGCGGGCGCCGGGGCTCTCTCTGGCATTGTCAAAGAAATGCCCCAGCGGTAAAATCAGGAAACATGGATGCACGCCTTTTTGTTTGTTGTTTTTTTTAAGGAAAGGAGAATATCTTGCATTGACCCTCCTCTATTCCGCTTGTCTCCCGTTTCTCCACGTGCCGTAGCCTCCTTTCTTCTTTCTTTGTTGCGGTTTGTTGTTGATTCGCGGAGAGGCCACCGCGTGTATAGTTGGCACTGGCTGAAGGGTTACCCCAGAAGTGGCGCTGCTCTACCATACGGGTAGTAACCGTTCGGCGCTGCTCCTCGCCTTTTTTTCGGCGGCCGCCCATTCAATGGCTTTGTCGTGCAATTGACAGGCTTTCTCGAATAAAGGAGGCTAGATACCGCCGCAAGGGTGAGGTCACCCTTGCGGTGGCTGTGACCTGAAATCCTTGCTTCTGCTCTTTGTGGGCACTAAAAAGAAAACTTCTTGACAAATAGAGTTGAACTTTGGTGGTCAACCTTGGAAACTCCACCACTATGACCCCCCCCCCCTTCCCAAGATCCTTTCTCCAGTAGGAAATGTACACCCGTGAGCGATATGAAGGTGAACAGCCCTCTTCTTGTTTTTGACGCTCCTGCAAGTTTTGGAACAAGCTCCGTTCCAGAAGAGGGCTAGAACACAAAGTTTAGACCCCCAAGCCACGTACCATTTGTAGACATTGAGAGTTAATATAGCTTTAGGGAGCTGTAAAACAGGCAAGAAACCAGGTAAGGTGTTCACCTTCATATTGCCGGCGGGTGTACTACAGAATGCATAGTTTTGCACTCAGTACTGCTTGAGCAGCATTTGTGATTATTTTCACTTTGGATAGATGGCGGACACGTCAGTTTTTTTTGGGAAAGTAAGCCTGAACATACCAGCACGAACCAATGCTCGGAAAGAATGGCGGAGAAACGAGCAGGTTGGCATCTGTTGATGTTCCGAGAGGTCCACACTGACTGTGTATTCTAACACGAAAAATGAGTCGGCACTCAACAAGCCTTTTCTTTTGGTCATATGCTTTCTTCACTTTGGGATATATGTAGGCTACAGTGGATTTTTGTAAGCTTTAGGAGATATTTTCTGCTGTTGACATATACTCCTAGTGGTAGCTGTTGCAGTATCGGTCTAAAGTTTATTTATAAATTAATGCTCATAAAAAAATTGTGTTTAGTTGAAGAAAAAGGAAAATGAAAATGGCGGTTGATCTTGGCTATGTACCGGTAATTGGCCTGCTATCCAAAGACCGGCTGTGCCAGTGCAGAAACCAGCCAGGTGGCAGTCCTTTGAACATCAGCAATAGAGCATGTTGCAATTTTCATGTAATGAGTTTGGCAACTTTTCTTGTTGGACGTCATTTACTTTAGGGTAACTTAATATTGTTGAATATCACTAATAAAAATAACAGCAAAAATTGATCAGCCATGCATGGCGATATAATTCGCTGAAGTTGTAAATGTTACTTACTCCCAATCGTGATATTTTGCTACAATGAAGTATTTCAAATGATGGCATTCTGGCAGATTCGTCAAACATGAGGCCCACAAATGTAGCCACATTAAAGAAATTCTGGTTACTAACTGTAACTTAGTTACATTTTCGGAGTTGCTCGTAACTTAATTAGCTCAGTTAATTGGTTTAGAATATTATGCTCGCAAGTACGCAAATTCACGTTGACAGACCAACATTGGTGCTTCATGTCAGCCGGTCACTGCAGTCGGTGAGCGGTTGCGGCACGCCTTGATAAATCGAAATGTTCTAAAATTGGAATGTAACTTCATTACTGTTCATGAATATCGGGTTTTATGAGTAACCATAGATGCGTTAATAAGAATATAACTGCAAGCGTTACTTATATCTCATGTGGCTGTAACGAACCTAGTAGTCACTTTGTATGAGGGCCAAATGAGGAGTAATAAGACTGCTTCTGTGTCTTTCCTTGCAAGGAGGTAGACGGGCGGTGTTCTGCTGATGTTCACAAAGGTAACACATCTACAAGTTTGAACCTTCAGACGGACAGCCGTAGCCTATAGCATTCCGTCGCAGCTAGCGAAGTCCCCTCCAACGTGGCCTCGTAGCAAAGGACGGAGATTGTGCTCGTGATAGGACGGCAGAGGTGCCCGGTGGAACTATGCGTTGATCTTGAAAGAGTGGCAACTGCTCTATAATACTCTTTACATAGTGTGGACTTACCACTGCATGGATTCTGGGCATTTTCAACATTGAAAAAAAGTAACGAAAACCGAAAGGAAGGAAGTTCTCCTTGTACGATGAAGCAAACAAAGTCGCAGCAGCAATGCTGAAAATGACGTCGCAAAACAGTCTTCTTCATTTCTTTGAATTATTTTTTTAAACATTCTACTTAGTGTTTTTGAACGTGAAGGATGTTGGCTTGGAAAGGAAAAATTATCAGAGCCTGTAGAATCTCCTAATTCTGAATAAAAAATAAATAAATTTATCCCATTACTTTTTAATTGGCCCTTATAAAAAAACTCTTATGGCTCCGGTACGTATAACAAAAAAAAAAAAGGCTCAATTTATCTCAATTCTATGGATAAAATTGGTATATACATAACATGTTTCCATGGCATTCTTCAAAACTTGTTATAAACATGAAAGTTTTTTGTTTTTTTTTTACTTTTTTTTTTTTTTTATGTGACGTTGGGCTTGTCTGGAACTTTTCTTGTTTATTCCCATAGACCGTCTGACCGTAAACGTTAAACGCGGAACACCGTAACGCCTAGCGCCAGCGTTTCCATCGCCTTCATAGACTGCCGTAATGGAGACAAAGCCAGCTAGCTTCGCATTTACCCACTAATATGCGCGGCGGTAGAATGGTCGAGCTCACAATGATTGGATCGTGGGCACGATTCCCATCGGGGCGCTTCTAGGACATTGTTCTTTCTTCTCAATTTTACTGCTCTTTTCGACAGATCCTCTGAAGTAGGTGTTACACACTTCACAACAGTTTCCACCCCATTCTATCCCACTTTCCCAAAAAAATCCCAACACATTCTGCATGACAAAAAAAGAAAAAGAAAACCGGAAGCGGAACTTGTGTAGAGAGTGAGATTTAAAAGCTCTCTTGCTAATTTCTTTTTTTTTTTTCCTAGGTCCACCCTTACCAGCGGATACTGGCGGATAAGCTCCGCGCGGAGCTTCACGAGGCCGGCCTTATCTGTTTCTTCCACGAGAACCCCATTCTCAGGGACGACCGCAGAGACATCCACAACATGCTCTACAAAAAGGTAAAAAAGAAAAATCTCCCCACCCAGAGCCAACTTTTTTGCCGACAATTGAAAAAGCACTCTGCCGCGTTTTTCGTAGACAACGATTGTTCTCAAACTTTTCTTAACACACCACGTTACATTAAATATGGCTGAACTATACTCCGCTTCACTCTAAGTCTCACCCTTTTCAAAATTCACTGCCATTTGGTTGGCTCAAATAGCAGTTTACCTTTTCGCCGTACTAATGCTAGAAATCGACCTGCAATCACCAGTATTTAGCCGGCCACCATCACTTTCACTGGTCAAAGTCATACGAAACTGTGACCTTTACCTGACAATTCTTCCTGGATCTCTAGGTTTCGATGGCGACATACATACGAGGGGTAACAACGAAGCACGAACCCACATTGACGCCGCGATAAAATTTTATACATCAAAAGGCTTTAGAGCCAACCGGACCCGAGCTAGAAATGAACGCTTATGCAGCTCTCGTATTCAATTCCTGCGTCGCGTCGTACCGACGTCTCAAATCCGTGGGCCTCGCATCGTCTGCTTCAGGGCATCTTCAACGTCTTCCGTAATCGGCAACCACGAGGCCGCCATTAGTACAACACATATGCCATTCCTCGGATGATGACGGGGATCAAAGTGGCCAGACTCGGAAAGGATCTGTTGAGTGGTGCCAAAGCGCATCGCCACTGCACTCGTCTTTGGGGGTCTGCTTCACCGGCTAGACCAATCGCGGTAAAAAAAAAAAAGAGCTGGATGATCGGCCTGCGTGACCGGTCCGGGTGATCGACTTAGTCGTCGATAGCAAAAGCACAAAGGCGACGACCACCTCAATGGCGCACTGATTAAAGTATCATGTCACATTAATTATTTTTCTCCAACCAATTCCTATATTTTGAAATTTGGTCGTATTGTTTTTTTTTTGTTTTTTTTAACCGAACATCTCCGTTGACTACTTGTTCCAAACCAACTACAAGAAGTTTGATGATGTGAAAGGAACAATGTGGAAGCTCCCGCTGGTACTCGCTTAGGAGCCCCCAAAAATGTTCGACATTTTTCTAGACTTCCCGTTCAACCTGCAAGTCTGCCTACCGGTGACATAGTGCCACTGAAAAGTGCGGAGAAATTTGAATGTTGATTTCGGTATTCCCCTTCATTAGCCTTTTTTACAGCGAAGCCGTTATGCGCTAGGATCTGGAAAAAAAATGCGTCCGCGGATGTTGACAGAAAATCCCTTATTGGTCGTGGCAAGTATGAATAAATAAAAAGTAAAAAGAGGGGGCAACCAGCGTGAGTCAGCCTTTCTTGGCATTATTAGATAGTGAGGTCCTGATCCCTTGTTATCATCTCTAGGCATTATCCTCGAGGTCGTCCTAGGCGTTGTCCTCCAGGCGTCGTCCTCAGTGTCGTCGTAGAAGTCGCCCCTGAGGTCGTCCTAGACGTCTTAGAAGTCGTCCTCAATGTTGTCCTAGAAGTCGTCCTTGAGGTCGTCCTCGAGGTCGTCCTAGGCGTCGTCCTTGAGGTCATTCTTGAGGTCGTCCTAGACGTCGTCCTCTAGGCATTGTCCTAGACGTCATAAAAATCACAGCTTTGCTGGTCCTCCACCTTCACGTGAAGTGGAAGGGCTCTACAATTTTTTGTTGTGCAATATCTCATTTATTAAATTTATTAATTCCTTAAAGGGACACTGACACCCCCCAAAATATTTTGCTACAGAGTCACATATTTTTTTAATAAGGCCAAAAAACGCAACTGCTCGAAACCGAAACTGAAACCCCCGCAATACACGGAGAAGTGGAGAGGAGAGAGCGAGTGGCGGAAATCACATGGCTACACCCAACCGTGCGATTGTTGTTGTTGTTTTTTTTTCCGCACGCAGCAGACGAAATGCATTGCGGGATCCGTTCGCTGTGCGATTCCTTTGCAGTTATGTTTGTTCCGCTCACTGTTCTGTACTTCAAGATGAGTTGTTTCATACATTTAAGCGTTGGCAATTAGTAGTGAGTGCCCGTGGTGAATTCCCGTGATCGGCGGGGACAAGTGCAGTGACCATTTTTGCAAATTAGTGCATGTTTGAGAACCTCAGGCTCTGTCGTACAAAGACAACAACGGAGATGGACGGAACGTTAAGGCCATGGTCAATGATGCAGCCCCGACACTCGCAAGTAATTAAAGAAGGACGTCCTACCAAGCCCCAATTCCCCGGGACACAACGTTTTGAGGCCTACTCAGTCTCTTCTTCGGCGCTATAGACAGAGGAGCAGGTTCGTCTTCTGCGGCAGCGTCTTTCTCTCTGTATCGGCAATGTGGAAAATCCCATTGATGTGGGCGGATACTAAAGTGCAGAGAGACCTGCCTACTCACCTCTTCCAGAGTGGTTTGAATGAGTAAAGATTTTAAGCAAACTCTTTGTCGGTGGTTAAGGCCCGTCCACATTTACGCCACGGCTCTACCTCGGTGCTGGAAATAGTGCCGACCTTGCTGATGCTGTACCGCCTTCACGTTCTACATTAGTGATACTGTGTCGCGTCGGTGCTATGTTTTTGTCCAAGTCGGCACTGCATTAACGCCTCGACGTACACGTGAACTGGATTAGGGTGGCGATGCGGGCTAGTTGGTTCATACTTCGTAAATTTGACACAGCGCACAAAAAACAAAGACGAACCAGAAGGGCTTTTTTCGTGCACCCCCTTCTACTTCGTCTTCGTTCTTTGTGCGCTGTGTCGATTGACGTCTGGCCTGTAGTCCCAGTGTCAATAGAGAGGGTGCTCTTTAAACCGGTGCGTTGGTCCTTGACGTCACAATGTTCAGCAACCGTGTCATGTCCATGACCAAAATATCCAATGTCGTTTGCGTGCTGGCGGACCCTCTCCTGAAAGTTCTTTGTTTCGCCGACGTACATGGGAGGACAATCCACGCGGAGAATCACGATTGCAATGAACTCGCCTCTGCATTGTTAACTTTTTGTTTAGATCTGTACGCAATGATGACCTACTAATCCTTAGAGTAATAAGAGGCCCCTGAAACAGTTGTCTTTGAAAACATCAGTACCCCTGCAGTGGCATAGGCGGATGGTTGGTTTGGAGGTCAAACCTCCCCCAAATCATCACCTTTTTTTTTTTTTTTTACAGCGGAGCTGTTAAGGGTTAGTTCAAAATAAATCTTGACACAAACCCTCTGAACAGCTACCGCCATCTATAAGCAACGGCGGCAACCAGACAACCGGCTTGCCGGTTGTCTGGTTGTCGCCATCACTCATAGATGGCGGCACATAATACAGCTTCGCTGCTCTTCCTTCTTCACCAGAGTGGAAAGGCTGAAAGTTTTTTTTTTAGCGAAGGAAGACAAATTTTGAATGACTACCGAATTGTTCCAGTCAGCTGGGGGATTGGGGGCTGGGGACGGCGGTCTCCGTACCCTTGAATTGTACACTACATTGGCTACTACACGCAAAGATAGGACAAAGCCCCCCAATCCCCGGTCATGCAGATCCCCCCCCCCCCCTCCTTCCCCCGAATATAATTTCTGGCTACGACACTGGGCTTCTCCCTAACACGTCCGGAAATGAGATGTATTTTTTACCCGACCCGACTTTGGAGCCCAAAACACAAGACTGCAGTGCGACCGACCACGTGTGACCCCTTATGACCAGGTGGTTGCTATGGCAACCAATGTCCCTGCAACGCGTTGTAATGGAATGCAAGGAGTCAAAAGGCAGTCGGGCCTCACTCAGACCCAAATGTCTGAGCCAGCCTTGACAATTACGCCGAAACGCAAGATGACATGGAAGATGAGGAGAGTAGCCCGTCTCTTTGGTATGTTCCAAAGGCACTGTAAATGCCTAGCATCTATAGGTCACCTTTTGGGGCACCTCTAGGAAGGGACATGAGGTTAAGTATCCCAAGTATACAGTAGGCTCGCGATAATTCAAACCTTTCATACTTGTGGTTAATTCAGACATATACTTCAAAATCTCGGTTGTCCCGCTATGTTTTTAACGTATCCATAAGCGGCTTAAGTCGAACAATGTTTTCGTGTAATTCCTACATTTGAACAATAATCGAACAAGGCAGACAAAAAACAAACACGGATCTAGAAATCTCAAAACACAACCACCGTAAAATACCAGGCAAGCACCCACTCAAATTTCGGATATAATCATGAAAAAAGGGGGGACAGGCGCTTGTGCAGTTAACAGTTTTACATAAAAATGTACTATGCATATATTATAAAAAATCCGCCTGGTCTTGGTGACGAACCAGGGACCTCTCCGTTTCCAGTGGAGCGCTCTACCAACTGAGCTAACCAGGAGTTAGACATGAGTAAAGCAAACGGGTTTTAACAGCTTCCTCCAGTCTAACAGGCCTGCATTTTAAGGTTGTGATGATAACGCAATTAATTCAAAAATGCAAGTCAGCTGGACAACGATAACGATAATAATAATCCCTGGAGAAGGGGAACAGGGGGGAGAGGTCCCTGGTACGATACCAGGACTAAGCGGATTTTTTTCAGTCGCGCACCAGCGCGCGGAGAAAACAACGGCACTCCACAGGTTAAAAGCTGAAATTGTCCTTGCAGGGCTTCTTTCTGAAGAACTACAGCAATCGAGTGGTCCAGCTGGCCATTGCGGGTACCAAGTTTGAGACTGCCAGACCCTTCACCAAGTCCTATAACGCCTTGTTGCTCAGCGCTGAGCCAGACCTCAAGACCCTCTTCAGGCTTACTAAGAAGATGCCCCAGTTCGTGCTCTTGGGTGAGTTCAGTCGCTTCCACGCTATTCCTCAATACACAACATGACCGACTGTAGTGCAAAGGAGAGTTTTAAACATGCATAGGCTGTTTGCAAGCGCTCATCAGTCGTAAAAGAAAATGTATATACGGAGCGTTTCAGCGGAGGCTTTGAAAAATTCCTACCAATGGGTGGTTTAGGAAAAAAAAAGAAACTCGTTTCGGGAACAAACTGCCAGCCGCTGCGAACGGTAGGGATTGCAAGAAACATACTAATTAGCTAAGTGGTTGAACTAAAGTTTACCAATTAACTTTTTAATTAGTGAAAATAAACATGTGGTTCCAATTAGAAACTTGCTGAGCATCATCCAAAATCTCCAATAAATCAGTTAATTCTAGGAACGCTTAAAAACACATGTAAGGCATGGCCATGTGCTAAAGTTGCCACTCCTGCATAAGCCTGGCAATGCAAAAACGTGAACAATAATATTGTCCGCGCTTTTCCATCACCAGCCTTGTGTGGTAATTTTAGCCCACCTTCATGTGCACACGTTTTAAGTGGTCCTAAAATGAACTAATTTAGAGATTTTCGATGACATCAGCCAGTTAATAATTGGAACCATGTTTATTGTAACTAATTAAAAAGTTAATTAGTAAGGTTTAGTCAATGATCGGTAATTGGTACCTTGTTGGGAATCTCTGACCTCCGCCATGACTGGCAGAATGTTCTAGAAGATAGTTTCTTTTCTTTTTTTTCAACCACCCTATTGGTAGGAATTTTTCAGTCTTTGCTGAAACACTCGGCATAAGCCAGTAACCGGAGTACTGCAAAGAATTGCAGAAAGGTGTTTTTCGGTGCTGCATTCATCATATAGAAAAGTTTCTTGCGTTTAGGTCTACGGGAAGAGATGTAAGAAAAGAAAAAAGTGTTATTCCTACGCGCGGCGAGGAAATGGAAACTGGCGATACTACCTCACACAAAACAAAAACGAAAAAGCTTTGAGATGAATACCCGAGAGCGGATCCGGCAGATCTTAGCGCATGTGGCTCCATCTGTCTGTAGCTGCCTTTACCAGGCAGTTTGTCTCCGTTTTTCTTCCTGTGCATAGAATTTCGAAATAACGTAACAAGGAGCGAAAGTACACCGGCAAATGGATTAGAAAATAACGTAATCTGAACCCTGAGACAAGGAAATATAAGATAACGGACAGGACGACACAAATCTCAAATGCATGCAGCTGTCATTTTCTCTTGGATTTTCTTTTTTTACACAAACGTGTACTCACAAATTTTGAAAACGCTATTTGCATCACCCATTGACACCTTTGTGAAAAGTGTGATTGCACTCTGTTCGTTGGGTCATTTAAATGGCTTTGTTACGACCGAATAGTACTCGTGAATGCCTTGTGGAATGACCGCATCGACTTGTTTTTCAGGGGACTGCAGTAAAAAAAAAGTAAGACGTGGAAACGCATCAGAACCTACAACGAATACAGACAAGAGAGGAAGCTACTCTCACGTAAAGTCACAGGATTTTCAGAAAGTAGCGCCATTACCTCCCCTGCCTGCTAGCAGGAAACAAACAGACACTAACATACAGATGACCAAAACCGCGCGAGGCAATCTACATTGGTTGCCCTGGCACTCACCATCTCAATCATTTAAAATTTCAGTCTGCAGTTGGCCGGTTACGGAAACGCCATCCGTAAATATCTCCGCAACAGTCGAGTCATTGGAAGTCATCGCAAATATAAACTGCGAAGCAAACTCGGTAACAAAGCGTCGAATGCGACACATTGCGGCATCCCAGTCTGAGGGTAGACGAGGAGTCTGGCGTCGGCAAGACTGTCCTCGATTAATAGAAAAGCCTCTACCGCCTCATCGATCCGACGAACTAGTGCAGTTGCGCTCCTCGGTGTTGCCAAGAGGCTGTGAAGAGGACACAGAATGGCCGTACAACGGGAAACGAAGTGCCGATGGAAGTCCACCAGCCCGAGAAGCTCACGGAGTTGGCATTTCGTACTCGGCAGGGGAAACTTTCCAGTGGCTTCGAACTTCTCTGGGGTTGGATTCCCAAGCTTGAGATGAGGTGACCAAGAAAGGTCAGCTTCTGAACCGCGGAGGTGCTCAGGGACCATACGATGGGTGGATGATACCGAGCTCGAGCGTACAGTCGAAGTTCTGATGAGCTATCCGCCGCTCTCTGGTGTGGACGGGCAGGCCTGCAGTGGTAATTTGGCGACTGGTGGCCGGCATGTCTGGTGGAGAGTTTGCGTGAGAAGGTAGCAAATCGTGTAGTACCCGACGGTCCTAGCAGCGTGGGGCCGAGCAGAGGCTCGGGAGCCTCGTGTTGCACACGTCAACTAAAAAACCGAAGTGACGAAGGGAGTCTGCTCTCAGGATTGCAAACTTGACTTCAGTCACTATGGTCCCCGGAAGGAACATCTCTTTGAGATAGTCGAGACGAGCTCTAGCGTTTCTTGTCGACGGGCAATGCCAAGATTATGCTCAGTTCCGCGCCCGCGTCGACGAGGAAACGAACGCTCTTGTCGCGTTTGGTGAGGAAGAAGACGGAGGTGCAACTTTCTGGCAAAGCGGACATACTGGTCGCCGTCAATAACGGCCCCGGCCATTTACCGACAAGTGCATGCGGCATTGCGGAATTTGCAGTGGTACCAACATTCCTTCCACAGCCATCACGGCCGCGGCATAGGACCCCGATTTGAAGGTGCGTAACCGGATGCCTGCCGGGCCACCGCTGTGTCGGTTAGGTGCGAGATTTCGGCTTGCACATCTTGCAGCTGATCCGAAGTAGTTGGTTCCACTTGCATGGCCGAGATGGAGGAAGGTTTTACGGCCATTAGCCGGTCAGCAAGCTTGGCTAACTTCGGTAGGTTTGTTTCTTCGCTAGAAACGACCACCATCCCCACGTTTGTGGGGAGCCGCCAGAGGAACAGTTCCCAAAGCATTACGCTGTCGAGATGTGTTGTTCCGGTGTTGAACAGATGTTGCGTGTGACGGAGAAGTTGGCTCGGCTTCCGGTTACCAGGTTCCTCTCCGCGAAGAAGTTGCCGAAGCCGCCGCAACTCCTGGCAAATAAGGGCCTCCTTGAGTGTTTTGTACGTATCCTTGGCGGGTGGAATGGATAATAAATCCTGGATTTCAAGCGCCGTTGCGGTCAGCAGACTGCTCACCGCGCGATGATATTTTGCAAGGTTCGATGCGTCGCGTCATGCGGCAAATTGTGGTTCCATTTGAATGAACCAGAGCTTGTGATTGGTGGTCCAGAATGGAGATAATTTGTTGTTGATGGCAAAAAAAGTTTTGAGGTCGTGGCGCCGGTGCCAAGCTCCCTCCGGGTCACCAGTGTGGAGGTGGCAAACAAGGTCGATGAAAGAACAACCCAACGAGCTCACGTACCATATCTCAAGTGGATTTGTCTTTTTCTTCTCCACTCACCGCGGATGTGCTGGCAGTTCTCGCGAGCGTGGAGCCGCGTGCCCTCGAGCCACTACATTTTAACGCCACCAAAAAGATTTCTAGTTTCTTTGTCGCTCGCAACTGTTTTTCGCTAGCAACAAAACCCAGCAAGACTGCCAACTTTCTATCTCAATTGTGCGTCACACAGTAGCGACACGCATTCCACCACATGTGGCTTCTGTGAAAGGTTCTTTAGAAATAGCAACACCATGCCACACCTTGCGGAGTGTGCGACACTGTTAGCCCGGACAAGTGATAGTTGGTCTTTTATGCTCTTTCTTCAAAAAGTGAAGGGCACTTTCACCACAGCCATGGTAAAAGTGCTCATTCTTTAGGCTAATCTAAGTTGTAAAGTTTGATGCTGCCAATATCCTTTCAAGGTAAACCGGGAACAACTTTGGGGGGCAACGGAGGTGTTTGTATTAACGAGGCATCGCCGTTACTTTCGCCTCTGGTTAATAAGACCCTGTAAATATAGACACCCCACCTTGTACTAGACAAGATTTTTGGGGACCGGTCTGTCCCCATACGAGTCTGCCTCGTTCACAAAGAATCACTCAGTCCAGACCACGGGCGGCTAGTTTGGAAAGTAATCGCATGAGTGCAGTACAAAGTCGTTGCGACGCACCTCGATAGGGATGAAAATTTTGGTCCGTTGTAAAAGGAGCAAGCAGAATGCAGATATCCTTACTACAGACACTGAGGTGAATTGTGACCGGAGTCTGTTCTAACCGGTGAGACTGTCGAAATGTGAATGGATCTTAGAAAAGAACCGGTTTATTTAAACTTCCGGACTTCAAGGGTTTTTTTTGTCGAGCCGTACAGACGATCGTCATCGCAGTTTGCAAGATGGGTGCCACCACTACCGAACCAAAGCCACGTGATGTATGGTATAATGACTGCTGTGGAAGTCTGCTGTAACAGAATGGCGAACTACTTACAAACTTCCTAATATAGTCTGTTATTTCAGTACGTATCCCACAACAGAATCTGTAGCAAGCAAAGTTGGCTTAATGGCATAAATAGGAAGACCAACCAGGCTTCACAAATTGATATGTTGTAATTAGGGTTCTGTGCTTTCAAATAAATTTGAAAAAAATAAAAAAAAACACTCGCCGGTAAATTTTCTCTTAATTCGGTGTTATCCAAAAAAAAACTAAGAATTTCAATGTCACCACAACAAAATAAATAAAAAAAAGAGATGGTGTTTTATATACTTTACTTTATAAATGCAGAAGGTCAGTAGCCCTAAGGAGATACCCCTTCAGTTTCCTTTGAAATCTCAAACTATACTTGTCAAGGTTCCTTCAGGAAAGTAGGTCATGATACGGAAACTTTATCTATTTTGTTTGTGAATTTTTGAAAATGGGGGGTATAGTAAGATAAATTGCAAATTTCTCACAATTGGGAATCTAGTAACAAAAATATAAACTTTGATAAACGCAGAATTTTCGGCGAACAATAAACTCTGAAAAACAGCCTCCGAATTTCGTGAGAAATATAAACTCAGAAACCACGGAATCCTAGTTATAAACGAAAATCTGCTGTAACCAGATCTGTTGTAATGAGGTTATACTTTGTGCATGCTTTTCTCGTTATTATGAACACAAACTTTCTAGAAACAGTAAAACAAAATATATTTGAGAGGTTTCTTGGTCACGGAGTACGCCAAGCAATTCACAACCGTCAGGTGTCGGTTGCCCTTACCGTCAAACAGAAGCGGCTCGAGACCGGAGTCTTTTACGGCCACACACGTCGTTTATTTTAGACCTTTTTTTAAAATATAGTGCCATCTGGAGGTTCAGAAAGCAGTTTCATTATGGACAAAATAATGGCGGTCATGAAACTATTGCTTTGAGCACCGTCGCCTTCACGCGTCAATGGCAGACGAGAATCGGTTTTTCGATCGCCCTCGTAACTCTTTCTCAATTTGTTTTAGTTTCGACGGCGTGAACATAAGAACTGACTGGTACAAAGCTGCGACCCGCAAGCGCCTCAATTAAATTTCAGCCGTCAGAAGATGGTGGTGGGGGACCCCACCCCGAAATAAATGCTTACGCAGCCGTCATATCGAACTCGTGCGTCGTGTTGTACCGACGTCTCGGACGTTTAGACCTTGCATATCTTCCGCTCGGTAGTATATTCGACTTCTTCCTTCGTCGACCTTACGAAGGCTTCCATCCGTTTGGCACAGATGCTGCACTGGCTAAATTTCTCATCTACAGTGGGTAACAATGTCGCCATGTTCTAGCAGACTAAACTCCCGCTGTGTAAATGACCAAAGTCTTGTCTCTCTAATACAAACCCCGTTATTACGAATACCTCGCCATGTAGACGACATTTTCGGTGTACGAACCTGGTAGATACGCATATTTTTCTCTCCTCACATTGCAGACGCTTTTTCGGCGGAATGGAGGTGTCCATATCATAGAGACATCACAGCAGCGACTAAATGAATTAATTTTTTTGCCACACATTAAGGCGATGATGTGATCAAAGTTGCCGGACCGAATTTCGGAAAGGGTCTACTGATTGTGATCTTAAATTCGCTGTTGCGGACAACTCACATTAATTACCCGTAATAATGAGACGCTAGAGAGGCGCTTTTGCGACGTTGATTGTCGACACTTTCTTTGCAGCCGGCATAGCTCACGACCGTTTCCTGAGCAGGGACGACCTCCAGTGGCTGAGCACGGTACCCAACGTGGAGTACCTCCTGGGACAGACGTGCGGAATACTGTCGTCGACGGCAAGCGGCCTCTACCGCCTCACATCCCACCACCAGAACAGGCTGTCGCTGCTACTGGCGTCACACGCCAAGCAGCAGACGACGGCCGGCGAGACGAAGACGGAGGCTCCGGAGACGAAAACCGACCAGCCGTGACGTTAGGAGACGAACTGCGTGTTAGCGAGACTAGGAGAATGACTGGTTTGCATCTATTAAACGTTGTGTTTGTAAAGCCGACATTAAAAGGGCATCTTTGTATGTGCATTAGTTTTTTTTTCACGCAATGGCAGTCGGTGGGAAAGACTCGAGAAAAATGAGCGGCGTTCATTTCCTCAACTCGCAGCCAAAACAAGCTGCCACGGGGATCGTAAAGCTCGATGACAAAGTGACGGGGTTCGTAATGTTGACGATGCCAACAATGCGATCCCCACAGCTTCGTCGTCGAGTTTTGCGAAACAGAGACTGAAAGAGAGCGGCCGCTTTTATCCTCGAAATCACGCGGCGACAGAGGCACTCCTTTGTCGGTGGCGTTGTGTGCGAGTACACTTGGGTCTAACTAGTGCCAGTGAGCTTGTGTAAAGTGAGAAACATTCCTACTCGATATTGTTGCACAGCACCTTTAAAGGAGCATGTTTTCCTCAAACTGAGGTTTGCATGCTCCCCCAACGGATGCTAGCTTTGTCATTAATGGATGGCGGCGCAGCTACGATCGACCTTTTGCGAGAATGCTTCGCCCCGTCGGAATCGTAAGCAAGTGGGGATGCTGCCGTTCTTAGGCTTATACGAGGGTGATTAAAAAAATCGTCTGCACTGCGGTTTGTCTTAGAACCTCCATTGGTTGCACTGTCTCTTTGGTCGTTGCTGTGTAGGTTTGAATAGTGAGGCAATGTTGAAGTATGCTTGGAAAACTGGTGTGAGAATTTTAAACCAACATAGTGAAGACTTTTACTGGAAAGATTGACCTTACCATAGAGAGGTTCTATCTTAGAGCTGCTAGAAGTATTTAAGGTTACGTCCAACTGTATTGGGTTTAAATAAATGGGCAATGGGAACTAGTTAAATTATGGTTGCTTCTTCATGCTCCCTTCCTATTCCTTTCATAGAAGAAACCTGTTAACAGTTGCTGTATTTTCTTTATTAGTGATGTCAGCATTTGTTTCCTTTCAGGTCATATTTCTGAAGTAACTAAGAAATACATTTTTCTTCTCAAGTAACTGGTATAGGGAAGTCTGTTCGACACCCAACGGACCATGAATTAGTACCTCGTTATGAAACTTCTGCAACACTTTCTTTGGCATTGAGCTGGCAAAAACAACAAAGTGGCAGAAACAGCATTTCAGGTTTTCAAACAATATGAAAGAAAAGAGCATAAACTTTTCAAGAATCCCGCCTTGCGATTCATCCATTCCACACGCTGCTGCACTCAAATGTTGAAATGTCTGCCCGCTCGCAAAGGCTGCGAGCTCATGTTCTAATTCACATAACCTCTGCCTGCAAACTGCAGGTTTTTAATGCAAACATTTGGACCGCTATGACTGCCTATAACTTCCCCAAAGAAAGAGGGCATCCTAGTCACAAAGGAGGTTGGATAAAAAATTTTGGATAGCAAGTTGCAAGCCAAGTTCTCAATGAAAGGTATGTTCTCAAGAAAGCTGGGAGGGAATTCAGTGTCCGTGTAAGGTGTGCCTAAAGATGGCACTTCGTTGTTTCGACATCCTACACAGCGATTTGCTCTACGACTTTACCAGAACTGAAACACAAATTACATCCCCAAATAAGTTGTACCAACAACTATAAATATATTTTTAAAAAAAATGTGGCACCACTCGTGTCAAAAAAGAGCTTAGCCGTTCAGCAATCTCCTGCTTTTAACATTTTTTTTTGCAATAAAATAATGACAACGCAACACACTGTTCTTTCAGCATTATTGCGATCGTGCACGGACACTTTCAGGACTTCACAAAACAAGTTTCCGACTTTGTCTAAATATAGTGGAATCCTAAAAGAATCTGAACTACTAAAACATAGCACTTTCATGAATGCAAAAGGTGGCTGTCGATCACCAGTGTGGCTTTTAACCGTCTGTGTCATAATTGAGCAATGCCTTGGTGTTGTTGACACGTTATACCAAGAGAAATGCCGATACACCGAGAGACTGTTTTCAGATCTGAATGTACGAGTTAAGGAAAGTGAGTAGAGAAGGTTTTGTGGTGGGTCTATACTCTTCTAGCACTGTAGTCTATAATTCTCCAGTGGTCTAGGGCCTAGTTTATACTTTTCTACCTTTTTAGTCCACACTTTCCTAGCGCTACAGTTCGGTCTCCTAGTGTTCTACGGTAGCCCATAGTCCTAGCGTTTGAGACTGTAGCAAACAAGCGGGCCACCTTGGTTAACCTCTCTGCTTTCTCCTTTCCGAGTCTAGTTACCGTATTTACTCGAGTAATAGATGCACTATTTACGCACAAGGCCCTTGTGTCTGTTTTACCACAAAACACATATACAGCCAATCATTGCGGTGCGCATAAATAAGATAGCGAATAACCAGATCGAGAACACTATTCTCTATACTAATCCAATCTTCACAGATGGTATCTTTGTACGAAGATGGTATCTCTGTCCTGTAAACAGATGGAATCATGCTGTCGAACGGGGCGATTGGCCATCTGGCGTGCTCTGTGGAAAAGCGAACCTTCAGGTTTTCTTCATAAACATTGTGGCTATTACTCGAGTAAATACGGTAATGGTCTTTTAACACTAGCTCATGACCTTCTAGTGCTCTAAAATAATCCATAGTCCTTGTGCTCCAGAGCAGAGTCCATAGCCCTGGTGCTCCAGAGCCTAGTCCATAACCTTCTAGTGTTTGTCTTGTTCATACTCTTTAAGACCTAGCACTGTAGTCAAGCCTCTTAGTGTTCTACAGTAGCCTATAGTCTGAGTCTTGTTCATAATCTTCTTACACTGTGGCTCATTGTCTTCTAGTGCTTCAGAGTAGACCATAGTTCTAGTGCTCAAGAATAGTCAATAGCCTTAGTGCTCCATGGTCTTCTGGTGTTCTAGGGTCTACTCCAGACAGTGTAGACTTCTAGTACACCAGTATATAGACAATGTTGAGGGCCTGTCCAGCACCCTACTAAGAACCTCCGAAGTCCTGCTCACCACTGAATTCAGAAACCTCGCTCCAATGAGGCACCTCTCCACTTCCTCAAAAAAGGCACGAGAGCCGGCGCTGGCCAAGAGCGACGACAGATAGACGACCCCCACGCCTTCCTCGAGGAGGTGGAAGGGCACCTCAATTGGAGTGAGGTTTGCGAGTTCGGCAGTTAGTCTCCACAAGCACTGTAGCTTGCAGTCTTCTAGTGCTTTGAAATACAGTAAAACCTCGTTATAACAAAAGTGAAGGAGCGGTCGTAATTATTCCGTTATAACCATTAGTTTGTTATAGCCACTGTCCATTTCTTCCCACTATTAGCAAGCAAGGGGAATTATGATTGCTTTGTTATATCCATTAGTTTGTTATATCCCATTTTGTTATAAAGAGGTTTTACTGTAGTCCTAGTACTCAACAGTCTAGCCCATACTCTTCGAGCACTGCACAGTCTTCTAGTTCAGTCCTCTGGCACTGCACTATGTATTTAGACAATGTTAAAACCCTGGCTGGCACCCCGCTAAGAACTTCCAAAGTCCCTCTTAGACTTTGGAAGCACTGTAGCTCATGGTCTTCTAGTACTCTAGAGTAGCCCATGGTTCTAGTGTTGTGGAGTCCAGTCCACGGTCTTCTAGCGTTTGAGTGTAATCCACACACTTGCAAGCACTGTGCAGTCTTCCAGTTCAGTCCTCTAGCACTCCAGTTCTTAGACGATGTCAAGTGTCTGTCCCGAAGAACCTTCAAAGTTCACTCCGACTTCAGAAGCTGCCGTCTCGCCAGTCTGTCAGGACACTTCCTCGGACGCCTTGAAGAACAGTCCGGAGAAAGCGTCCTGCAGAGCTCTGTGACAGGCCAGCCCAGCTTGGAAGCCACCGGCCAGCTCCGGCTCGGTTGCGGCTCGGACGTGGGCCGTGTAGCCGGATGGTGTGAGGGCGTCCAAGGCTGGCACGGGTGGCCCGCACAAGTCTTGCTCGAGGGCAACGTAGCTGTACAGGGGGCCCTCGGAGACCTGGACAAAAAGACGAGGGTTCAACAGCTTTAAGCACTCAAGTTGGGAGGTTTCAGAAGGCGAGCCGATAACCCCGTGGAGGGTTCTTTTAATGCGGAATGTGTTTTATCAGCCGAATTCCATAAGAAAACCATCGCAAAGAACTGTCACAAAGGAGCGTCAAAAACGGGACCGGTCACATCAGTTTCTTTGCAAAATTTAGTAGGAAAATTAATGTCACGTGACACCGATTTCCCCAACAAATTTAACAGGGAAATGGAAGTCGCGTGACCACATCACGAGACGTCAAGTTACGCAATGTAATTTTTCTCTCTAAATTTAGCAGGTAAATAGTGTCACGTGACGCCAATTTCACAGCTAAATTAGCGGGGAAATGGACATCACGTGACCATGTCATGTGATCGCAAGTCTCATAATGTCAATTTTTTCGCTACATTAAGCGGGGGAATTGATGTCGCATGACGTGACATCAGGTGACATCAGGTGACCTCAAGTCGGGTGGCGCCAAATTCTGTGCGGTGGTAGTTTGCACTCTAGACATTATGTGTTTCCCGGTCTTCGTCAGCATGATCAGGCATTTAGAACGTTTTTTTTTGTCACAAAAACATAAAATTTGTGATTCAAGATATATGTATAACATAAGTTTATTTTTCTATAAAATCTGGAGGGTGTTTTTCTGTGTTTATTTTTAATGGGGAAATACGCCGTTCCTCAGAGTTGAAATCTGTTCTATTTCCAATCTTTAGAAATTTCGAGTTCATTGGAACTGCTCTGTTTCATTCCCAGTTGTTCAAACTTTTGATTGAAGATATAATATTTATGTGCAAAAGCACACAAAAATGCTAGCTGTGACCAATATTTGCAAAATTTTTGTAGGGTATGGCATCTTCTGTTACTAGAACACTTCGATCTCCTCCCTGCGAGAGACCCAAATGGCACAGTCCATAAACTCGAAGGTGAAAAAACAGCTAGCACAATTGCATACTTGGATAGGCTACTGTCGTGGTCCATAAATAGAGCAACATTGACTTATTAAACAGTCTGAGGTTAGAAACTCTCCCCAGGACAATAATCTGGCAATCAGCTTCGAAATCTCGGATTTCTTTTATTTCAGTTGTGAAATCTGAACTGACTAAAAAATTTACCGGTAAACTGAGTTACACATTTCTGCAAAAAAACGGAGACGACGGATGAAAAAAAGGACAAACACAAAACGTCTCAATTTTCCGATTATTTAGGTTTTATCCGAAAACATGGAGCCCTACTTACCGTGAACAACTTTTATTTCACGAGTTTGATATTCCGCAAATATGGCACAATTTCCTAGAGTACAGGAGTATTTTGTGGGTACAAATTTTTGAGACGGATGATAGGAAAAAATCTCAAGGTCCTTAGTCAACCACCTAATCACTGTTAAAAGGTGGATTGGCATTAGCTGCGTATGCTGGGCTTCACTAACGCTGTCCTTCAGTTCACTTTAACAAACAACACAGACGACGCATGTATTGTCCTTCTGCACATTAGTTGAGTTTATGTACAGTACTTACTTGAATACTGGCCATAGCCCTATTTTAAATATCATATTCCTTTCCAGCCTTCCTGAAGTACAGGTGAACTCGTCACCAGTCAAATTATTTTTAAAAACATTAGAAGGCTGTCAGTGAAAAGCTGACTGTTTTGTTTTGCCGTTTGTTGTATTACTATGTAATATTATTGTGTATTCACAACATTTTGTTGTTTTCTTGTATAAGTTCTTGCCAACCTCTCCTGCCACAACCTCCAAAAAAAGGTTAGCAGTATCTATAAATACATAAATAAATAAAATTACCTCAAGGTTAAGTTGCTACATCGGCACTCACAGAGTATCCTTTTTATTTGTCATCCCTACTCATGCATATATTTTCACATTTTGGAGATCCCCTAAGCAAGATACGCAAGGTTGCGATGCCCACTCTGTGCGTGTTGCTTCTCTTCATTATCGCACGGTGGGAAGTGCACTCAACGGAACTAACTAACCCACTCAAGCAGACCACGACCAATAAGACATATTGCCGGAGTTCCAACCACATCGGCGTTCAGTACGAAGAGGGAAACAAAAAGTGAGTTATTCGAAGCAATAATTACGAGTTCCGGAAGTTCGCATAAGCCTACCGTCACAATCTAGCAGTATGGCGGGGCTCGCGGTCTTAGTTTCAGTACTGAAAAACTGAAATTAACCTTTCGAGCAGTGTTGCTACACACGGTGCAACGATTGCGTCGCTGTTAATGCAACCTGGCCCGTGCACCTAGCACACCGCAAATCTCGGCCATGTTTGCAAATACCCCCATTACTTCTCTATCTCAAAGTCGGCGTTCCTCCTCTACCGTGGGATTCGTTTGCCACCACAACGTTGGCAGAATGTATGCGAAAGTGATGGCGACTGTGCCAAATACAATGTCTCGTTTCAACCCGTTTTCACGAAGGTTCCAGTCTGTCCAAGAAAGCCTTACAAAATTGCGCGTATTTTCAATACTTGAGAAACGTCCGCCTGGTTTCACTCCCGTTAAAGCGTTCCTCCTGCCTCTGGATAAGCGCGACATCCGAAGGGCGGGACTACCTCGATGGGTTCCTAGTAGTCGGAAGACGTACGTACGTATGACAAAATGTCCGAGGGGACAGAAAGACGGCCGCATGCGACTTCGGAGATTCCCGTTTCACAAAGCGTGTTCCCCATCCTTTTTTTCGTGCGGCTGTTTGAGCAGTGGCAATCTTTCGGGTTGCAACTAAAATTCCGTGTTTTGGAATGATTTTTTTTTTTTTTTTCAGTATGCATTGTTTTTTTGGCGCTTTCATTTCTGCTGACAGATTTGGTACAGTCAAACCCGTTTATAACGAATGCTGTCAGACACGCATTTCAGTTTGATGTATCCCGTAATTCGCTATATCAAAACTGGGCCTATTGCAAATACTGAGGCCAGGGCTTCGTAATTGATCTGAACTGAGACCAGACAACGATGACAATGCACGCTTTTCTGGAGCCGAGTGCGCGAGCGGCGTCGTTCGGGATCTGCCATCTTGGAGTAAGTGTGTTTATTATCCTCGCTCCTCAGCTCTTAGTAAAACCTATCGCCACACCGGCGATTCGGTAGTACTTTACAACATTGGCGACGAGGAACAGGATTGCGTACAACGTTCCACCCTTCAACGAGGCTACAGACAGGTGGGACTCTTATTTCATCAAAGTCGAAGTCTGCTCCGAGGGGAATAAGATCACGTCGGCGCCTCAGAAGCGTGCACTTCTAGTCTCTGCATTAGGAATCAAAGCTATTCGCGTGTTGTCGGCAAGTTGCACGCCATCACAAGTATTCAAGCTCAGCTACGACGAAGCTGTCAAACACCTGGATAACTACTTCATGCCGGAGCCTCATGAGATAGCGGAGAGCTTGTTTCTTCAACCGCTGACAAGGAGAAAACGACAGTTTTCGATTAGCTGTTGGAGCTGCGGCGCAACGCGGATAAGTGCAACTTTGGGTCGATGCTCGACTGCATGCTACGGGATCGGCTAGTTTGTGGGCTGAGCAACAAGAAGCTACAGCAGACTCTCTTGGCACGCCGGGATTTGACGCTGGAGTCGGCGGTGGACGTGGCATTTGCTGCAGAAGCAGCCACAAAAGATGCCACACAAATGGTCAAGCCAGAGGGAGAACTCCAGAAGATGACCGCGAGAGGGAACAGGACCTCTCCCACCCAAACCCAAAGAAAGATCCAAGAGAAGGTAAGAGCATCGGAGATGTGTTACCGTTACGGGAGAACTTCGCACCTCCCCAAGGACTGCGGGTTTCGGAAGAGGACTTGTTTTTGCTGTGGGATGATTGGACATGTTGCCCAGCGCTGCACTTCACGCGAGACTATGTCGCATGGAGGGGTCAACATCTTTTCTGAAGCAGAATCTGAAGACGACTGTGGTACTGACAGCCTTTTTGCATGACCACAGCAAGAGGACTTGATGAACCTGATTGCGCCGGTCCAACGGTTGTTCACGGGGGGGGTGGTGTTGACCTACTCATGGAACTGGACACCGACTTTCCGGTCTGCGTCACTCCGAAAAGAGTATATCAAGAAAACAAAGCAAGATGGCCTTGGTTGCAAGAAACCACATTAAGTCTGTCATGCTACCTCGGTAGGGTGCCAATCATCGGGAAGTTGAGCTTGACGGTCAGTTACGAAGGACGTCAAGTAAAAGCCGAGTTAACGGTTTTGGGACACAATGAACCAAGTCCGGTTGGCAGCGACGTTATTCGAGCCTTCAGCCTCCTTCCAACTCGGCTGTTGTCTTTGAAGACTAAACAGGGTGACTTGGATCAGGTATTGGCGGAGTACCAAGAACTTTTTCAACCGTGCTTGGGCCTAATCAAAGGACCCGAAGTACATTTGCACGTGAGCCCAAGAGCAACACTAAAGTTCTGGAAGGCCAGACCTGTGGCGTACGGGCTACGACAAAAGGTTACCGATGAGATTGACCGCCTGGTGGAGAACGGTATCCTCTCTCTTGTTACCCATTCTGAATGGGCAACCCCAGTCATTCATACCAGTTGTAAAGAAAAACGGCTGTATCAGACTCAGCGGGGATTTTAAATTCACCTTGAACAAGGCTTGTCGGACGGAGCAGTACCTGTTACCACTGATTGAGAACATTTTCGCATCACTGAATGGTGGTGACCTTTTCAGTACGCTGGACCTTTGGGAAGTCTATAACCAAATTCCGTTAGACGAGGAGTCCAAGAAGTTGGTGGTGATCAACACGCACAAGGGCCTATATAGCTACAACCGTCTACCTTTTGGTGTTGCATCTGCCCCTTCAATCTTCCAGAGGAGAATGGAGACCTTGTTACAAGGCATTTCTGGAGTTCAAGTGTACCACGATGATGTCCTGGTACAGTATAGACCACTTACAACGTAACCGCTTATAGTGCAGGACCGGGTATAACGCGTTTTTTTTAAGCCACCGGTTCGCCTCCCATAGAACTCCATGTAATTACATACCGCTTAAAATGCAGGCGCGCGAAGGGAAATATTGGTTATAGTGCGGTTTCTGGAACAGCGCGCCGACGACCGGCGCAGCGAGCACACTTCCCTGTGCGACACTAGATAACGGCGCTGACGGCGCTAGCTGCAAGCGGCCAAGCGGCACTCGCAGGGCAAGGAGGTTGCTCGAAGAAGCGGGGAGAAGCGAAGAGAGAGGCTTCACTTGCCATAGCGACAAAGGGACGCACGCACGTGTCGTTCACGTGCGTGCGTCCCTCCGCTGCGTTGGTAACAAACAACCACAACGACAGACCAATCGCAGGTCGAGGAAAAGTGTTCGCGCGCGTTGCATGTTGGTCACGGGCCGGCTGCTTTTATCCGCAAACATGGCGTCGGTTGTGATCGTCGACGTAGACGGCGTGGTGGAAGCTCATCGTTCCGCGTAAAAACGCTATTCTTGACTGTGAATTTTCGCTGTGTGTCGCTATGATAACCCAGCACGTACTAGAAGGGAAGATCCACCTACTCGTGCGGCGATGTCGTGGCGGCACTCTCAAGACTGCAGAAACGCCCATGTCGTCGTGTTTGTTTACTTCGACTACAGGTGTGCTTTCTAAGCATTTGTGATTTCGAACATCGCCCGGATTTCTTATTTGGAGCATTTCATGCCTGTGCTAAAGTTGAAGGTATTACTGGCGCTACCATATAAAGGATGCAAATTTTCACGCGTTTTCATCACCGGAGAAAAGTGATTAGGGTTAGCAATCCTGAACGCTCGCAACGTCCGTCCACAACCCGCGACGCCGTTAAAACTTAAAAGGCTGCACCAGGCAAGAGTCGCTCATTTCTTTTAAGATGTGTGACACACTTGAGAGAGAAGTGTACTAGTCTGGTGAAATAAAGGCTTTCCTCAAACTAAGCTTTATTTTTCATCTAACATAAAATAAATTCTTTTACAAAGGTAAGTTGTCTCGTGGCATGTATTTTGGCCTGAAAAATTGATGTTTTGGTTATACCGCTTATAGTGCGGATTTTCGCGACTCCCGCGACATACGTTATATGCGGTCTACACTGTAGCGGAAAAGAATGGGCGTGTCCCGTAGCCAAAGCGCGGGAAGGCAACGGACGCGTGCATGAGCTCCGGTTTCTGTGACGCCTTTCGTTACCACTTCAAGAGTACTTTCGATGTGCCGGAGGAACAGGACGCCAAACGCGCCGGTCCGAGAGGCGTTCCGGGCATTGAGGCCCCCCCACCGGGTCCCCACCTTGGGCACGGGCAGGAAGGCCTCCTTCTGCCTGAACTTGATGCCCGTGGAGAAGACGGCGGCCGGGGGCTTGGGTGGCAGGGGCTTGGCGGACGCCTTCAGCTTGCTGCCGTGGCTCGCCAGGATCCGGTTGGCCGGCAGGTCCGAGAACATCAGGTCGTCGATGAGCGACTCCTTCTGCTTGATCTTCTCCCGCCGGGCCTCCCGCTCCAGCTCCGCCAGCTGCTCTCGCCGCAGCTCCGCCTCCTGCTGCTCCAGTTCCAGCACCTCCTCCAGGAACTCCTCCTCCCTGCAAGGTGGCCACGTTCCAACTCTCGGCGTTTGGTCCCGTCTGGGAGGCATCCCTATCCGCTTCCGAACTACGCGAGGTATTCTTATCGCTGCTGCGTGTCTATATAAGCCATTCTTATCACTGCTGCATAACAATAGAAGGCATTCTAATCATTTCTGCATGACTACCTACAGAGACTGTTTGATTTTAATTCGAACTGACTTTTTTTTAAGGGAGATAAGAGTTAGACGAGTGCCGTCTTCACCACATATTCATCAGGCTCGGTGAACATTAGACAATGGGATAATCGTCATGGTAAGTTGACTTATTAACTGAATTCTGTTAATTAACTTTTTAATGATTGATATTAAGGTGCATGTTTCAATTCTAGTATTGAGAGCAATTATTATTGGAGACCAATCTATACATACCTAATTTGCAAAAATGTGACGGGTTTTCAAATATAACTGATAAATTTTCGCATACAGTTGAACCTCGATTTAACGAAGTCACCGGGACCCGCGAATTATTTCGTTAAATCGGGAACTTCGTAAAATCGGGAACGTCATTTTTCGGGCGTAGGATTGGATAAATTTGAAGTATTAGCGCAGTGGCATCCTACGAACTACCGCGGTATCACATTCGCGCAGTCCACGGGCCGAAACTTTTTAAAAAATGCGCGCACAAGAACTCCGCGAATGAGCAAGAGCACAACTGCGTGCGCGTGTAAAAAAAAAAGAAAAAAAGCTCGCAGCTCTCGAGAGAACGACAAATTTATTGCCTAGTGAAAAAAGCTTGTAATTAAGGAGTTTTCGTAAACCGCGCTGCCCCCTCCGCTAGGCGTTCTGCAACGAAGAAGTTGCTACTGTGCCTGCGCGCCGATAGCCTTGACTGTGGAGTTCCCGCTATCGTAGCGGGTTGCGGAGGGCCTTGCGGGACGGCGAAAACGATCTACAAAAACTCCCTAATTTCGCCTGCGCGCGCTTCGTGAGCAGCGGGCGCACACACTTCTCATAGCTGGCGAGTGAGGTCAAAGCGTCCTCGGCACCCCCGTGTGCCCCAGCAAACCGCCTCAGAAGGTCGACGGCGTCCATCACCTGGCTTGGTGTGGGCACGGGAGCTTCGACAGCATCCGGACCTTTCGCTTCTTCAGACTTTTCTTGTGCGCCGGAAACAAGCTGCACTATCTCTTCGTCGTCGAGAACTTCTGTTGTATCAGTGTCCGCGTCTGCGTCGGCGTTCACGAAGTCGTCGAAGTCCTGATCTGCGGCCACCTGGTCACGCCGACGAAGCTCTTCCCAACAACTGGGCGATGCCTCTTCCTGCTCGTGTTGCGGGCTTGTGGAGCCCGACGCAGCCTCGGAAGTAGAAGTGTGGAAGCCAGCATGCCGGAAACAGTTAACAACGATCGAGGACCGGGTTGCTCTCCACGATGCTGCCACCATCTCGATCGCCATGTACACGTCAATCTTCGTCTCACGTTTGATTTCCAAGTTCAGCAGGAGCTTCTCGATGACCCTGCGCTTATATGCGCATTTCTCACTGTTGATGATCCCCTGATCTAGGGGCTGAATGACGGAAGTCGCATTGGGGGGAAAGAACCGCAACTCCACATTCTTCAGGTGAAGCTCCAGGATGTGGTGCGCCGTGCAATTGTCCAACAGCAGACACACATTCCTCTTTTGGCGGCCCATGTCGTCGTCAAAGCTTTTTAGCCACTCCCAGAAGATAGCGCGGCTCATCCAGGCTTTGGTATTCCACACGTACTCCGCCGATAGTTTTCTAGCTCCTTTGAAGCACCGAGGATTCTGGGCCTTTCCAATGATGAGCGGATCACGCTTATCGCTGCCACCCATGTTGACGCACAGCAACAGTGTTAGTCGCTGTTTACTCTGCTTGTCGCCGTAGCAAGGCTCCCCTTTCCGAGCAAGCGTCTTGCCTGGCAGCATCTGATAAAACAGACCGCTCTCGTCCGCGTTGTAGACGTCTTGCACGGCGTACCTCCCCAGGATCTCCAGCACGTTCTCCGACAACTACTCTTCGGCTCCTTGCTTGTTCACACTGGATGACTCCCCGCTCGACACTTTGCCAACAATCCCGTAGCGCTCTTTGAAGCGCAAAAGCCAGCCGGGACTTGCCTTGAACTCGTCAAAGTCGAGCAAACACGCGTAACCGAGCGCTTTCTGCTGCACCACTTCCCCGCTGAGTGGAACGTTTCTGGCTCGCATGTCGTTAAACCACATAAAGAGGGCTTCTTCCAGCTTCTCGTGCGGGGTCGTCTTTAGGTTTTTTTTTTCTTGGATGCGTTCCCAGAGGAAGTCGCAAGGATAATGGCGTCCTTTGTCTTCTAGATGGTCGAAAGCGTGCTCGCCGGGATGCCGTGTTCCGCGGCCACGTCACATTTTTTCCGTCCGCTCGCGACTGCACGGATTATGTTCGCCTTTTCTTCAAGGGTCAGTACTTTCCTTTTCTTCTTTGGAGGCTCTATCCTTCGACGACGCAGAATGCGCAGAGCAAAGCAGATGAAAGGAAACTAAAGTGCGCGAAGAGCTGAAGTGACACAGGTGATTGGGTGGTGGAAACCGGTAGTGGCGAGAGCAGCGAGAGTAGCGGAGGCAAGCGGAGGCGCGGAGGGAGCTGAGCTAAAGGGCGCTTCTGTCGCATGCGAGATCAAGCACCTAGGGAGGCTCAAGTGAGGATGGGTGCAACTGCTAGATCGGCGATCACGGGACATGGACGCCATTTAATTGCTAAATTTTGCTGGGAGTCTATGGGGCAAAGGGTCGTTTTCTTTCCTAACTCGGGTCATAAAAGCCCATTAAGGTGCTTGAATAATTTACGCAAGGTATAAATGATTACTTTTCCATAGCCACCAGTTTTGTTGCGATAGGTTAAGTATTTTTTTAACGCGAAAAATGGTAAATTCCGCCATCTTGGACGTTGCTACTTGTCTGGCAACCCTGCTTTCTCCGCTCGACGTTTGCAATTCTCGGAGCGAGAAGGAAGCAAGAGAGGCTGCGCCAAGGCGCTCGTTGCTTGCAATGGGAGGAGAGAGGAGGAAAGGCGCATGGAGCAACAGAGTTGCAACAGAGCGGGTGCCTGCTCTCGTGCAGGCAACACTGGCGCATATCCTTTCTTGAATCCTCTCCCTCAGGCGCCGCCATTAAATTGCAAACGCTCTCCAGGTTTTGAGTTGCGCCCACCTTCACTAGATCCTTCGTACAAGCACCAGCCGCCGCTTTCGCCATCTGGTGGAACTGACCCAGAGCCTCGAAAGAACTGCGCAGTCTGTCGTTCCGTGCGGTTTCGGTTTGTAGTTTCGTAAGAACCAAAACGAGAATGCATCCGCTGCGTCGATTGTACCGCTCCTACGCCGGGAGCACACTGCCATACATTCTAGACGCCATAAATTTGGAAAACCTCTTTTTCTATGAATCTTTTTTCCTGGAATGCTTCGTTAAATCGGGTTTGGCGGCGAAGTTTGTTTCGTTATTTCGAGTTCGTAAACGCATTAAGCCTATGGGCAACTGCGGGGTGGAATCCGAATTTGTTCGTTAAATCGAGAAATTCGTAAAATCGGGTTTCAACTGTATTTTGTCCGATAGAAAAATTTTATACAAAAGGAGCACCACAGGCCCTGCCCACAATGACGCTTACAGAAGGGACGCCATTTCAGTAACGCCGTCACTTGTGGCACACCCACCAAGGACAAGCTACCAAGATAGTGACGACACAATTAAAACGATCGTCGCACTTCTAAGCATCATTGTGGGTAGGGCATGAGGTGCTCTTTTTGCGCGCAACTTTTATATCTGTCTGAAAAACATGAAAATCATTAATATCTAAAAGTATTACACTTCCACAAATTATTTCGGTTAATGTGGCCTGTGATAGTATTTGCCGTCAATACTGCGATTGCAACGGGACGGCTAAAACCAATATTTAAAAACATAATTACCAAATTTTAGTGAATTAGCTAACTTGCTACGACAATTATTCTTTCATCAAATGTCCGCCGAGCCCGATAAATATGCGTTGAAAACAGCGGTCATTTATCGCTTACCCCCTTTTTTGAAAAAATCTGTCCGAATTAAAATCAAACACCCCATATACTGCGTGACCACTATACGAGGCATTCTTATCAATGCCTTGTAATCTGCCAAACCGGCCGCCCACTCACATTTTAGCTTTTGTAGAGTCAATAGTCCAAACCCCGGTTCAGAACTTGCCTAGCTACATCAAAGACACAACGTTTGTCCCCCAACGTCTATGTCACTACACCCCCGATTCCGGTTTTCATCGTGGACATCACTTCTTTATACAGGGTGTCTTTTTTTAGCTGCACCAAATTTCTAAAAAAATAAGAGTCACATTGGGACAGTTTTACTTATTGGATTAACTTAACAGACTCGGAGGCCACTAGAAACAAGGTTGTTCGCACAATTAAGTGGCTAATTAACAGAAATATTTTAATTAACTTTTTAATGAAGGACTTTAGAGGGCATATTGCGTTTACAAGATTAATGCCCAACCTCCAGGCTGTATGCTCCAGCCGCAAGCTGTAATAAGCGCGCAAGCATTCAGGCGCTACCAGCCAAATAAGTTTAGTTCCTGCGGGCTTCCTCAAACCGAAAATAATTTAGAAAAGGACATTAATTAAGTTATCTCCGTTAATACGCCTCCGAATTGCGCAAGAAACCTTGTTTCTAGTGGCCGTCAAGTCAGGTAGGCTAATCCAAAAATTAAAAGTGACCTAATGCCAGTTTTATTTTTTTAGAAATTTGGTGCAGCTAAAAAAAAACTCCATGTATACTGCAATTCCCCACCATGACGACTTACGTGCCCTCCAACACTTCCTCGATCGACAACCGACTCCTGAAACCCTTTCTCACACCGTTGTCCGTCTTACTGAAATTGTCCTCTCTCTTAACGCCTTCCAATTTAACGGCTGTGTCTACCGACAGAAATGTGGTGTTGCATGGGCACAAAGGCGGGTCCCTCTTTTGCTAACCACTTTG